ATATGGGACCAACAAAGAAAGATTAAATTTACTCTGACTCCCCTAGATCTTCACTATATTTACAGCTCAATTATGCAATTACTTTGCTGTAAACATGTGATGGAAAACAAACGAAGCAAATATTCGGTTATTCAAGTGAGTTTTCACTGTATGCTTGGCTGGATATCATACTTGTCCCCTGATGAAACAAAGCATGTGAGGTTGAAATACCAATGTTTTGTCATGGATATAAACCTCTTATCTTATTCAAATTGTCTATGAGCTTAAGCTTAAATTCGCAGCTTCCAGGTAGTATCTGCTAATTCACTATATGCCATTGGATAATATTCTAAGCCTTCATGGAACTGTGCCTTTCAGGCTAATAAATAAAATACACTAGTGCCTTGTCACTGAGTTGCATCGTGACTAATCACAGAAAAAGACTCAACTGTACATGTATAGTAATAATAATAAATCCACTAGAAGAATTTCAGCATGAATCTCTCTTCATCTTTTTATACGGTGGAACCTAAATCTCATAATTTAGGGCAACAACGGGAGCGTAAACCAAGTGCATTGAAGTATTTTTATTTGAATCGGGTCCCAGTGGCTGAATGGAATACGAACTTGTTTTATAACCAGAAGGTCCTGGGTTCGAACCCCATTGGGTGCGTACTGCCGATGATTCCCAAATTAGGATGATACAGCTGTCCACTACTCCCTGGTTTTCAATGGTTCTCTAGCTGATATCAATCCGTGATCAACCCGTAAAAACAAAACTAACCCTTACAAACTATAGAAAATGAAAGGTACGTGTCAATAAGTTCAAGAAATGACAGTTTCCAATAATGTATTGTACATCTGTAAGTGGACATACTTCCAAAAGACATGTATAAAGTTTCATTACTAATCAATTAATTAGACTGCCAACATAGAAACACTGAGTCCTTAGCTGTACTAGACTGACTAAGCTCTACCTTCAATCTGTCAGTGCCTTTCCTACTGTCAATGACTATTTTAAAGTAAGTTGAAGATGAACTGAAGTCTCATCAGCAATTACTAAGGGAAAACATTTAATTTTTGAAACCCCGCAAGTTGACAATATAATATACGTATAACGAAAATCTTAATAAAAAGATAATAAGTACTGACATTCATGCATGCATGAATCACATCGAATAAAATCAATATTCGACCATCCCAACTTATTTTATTTGTAGTCATTTATTCTACACTATCAACTTTTGTAATTCATCAGGTTATGAAAACTGCGAATATCTGTATCTCTTTCCTTACGTGTCATTTCTGTTTCTTTTTTCAAAGTATTATAGATAATTGTCAGATGTACAGAGAATGGATTACCAATTGTCAAAGTGTCACTGACTACTTTTAAAATGACCACTTATACGACAATATCTCTTTTATTCACCAAACGCCATAATGACCGTAAGAAATCGGAATCAAGTTTTCATTCTATCCACTTTTCGAATAATATATTAGAAAGATTAAATGGATAGGAAAATAAGATGCATCCACAGTAAGCGGTTGTGCAGCAAGAAATTTTGCAAAAATAATGTTATTTATACTTAATTACTAAGGGAATGACTGAGCACACTTAAAAGTAGTGCAGAGAAATGAAAAGAAAATACCAATGGAACTTCAGTGGATAAAGATGTATGACCAAGGCTATTATTAGCAAACACAACGACCAACGCAATGACCTTGAACAGACAGACCGTTGCTTCACAAGAAGGAATTACAAACACCAGTGCCGATGTTTTATTACCAGTGATAAAAGGGTTAGTGATCGAAGGGATAACCAATCATGGTTACTTGTGGAATGCGTTATCAGTTACCCCCACTGGAACATACCAACAAAGAGAATCATACATCAGATTTTGCTGATCCAACAACTGGGATTCATATGGATCTGATAGGATTTCAGTGATATTTGAAAACACGCAAACAGATGATAAATGGATATCAAAAATATATGGTATACAATCATTTAGTCAAATATATGTAAATTAGGGGGGTTCAGATATTATTAACCGGTCCTTAGGGGAATTGGCAGACATTTCTGCAGCATATAAGAGACCATTATCCATTTTCAGCCACTTTGATTGTATTTATTTCCTAAATAAATGCTGTTTTCATGAAATGGCTGTGATAGGTTTTTCAAAGTGGTTTTGTTGGTCGTTCAAGTTTGTTTGCTATTCTTTATATTTCCATGACAGAATAATTAAATCAAGGTTGATGGAAATTTTTAGAGTCTAGATGATAACTCCAGGTAGGCAGTTCACACTTACCTACGCAGCTTAGACTAAAGGTCAATAACATCAATTGCGAGCATGTCTTAGGTTTTGAAATCATTAGGGTTTTAATACTGTAGGTTGAGGTTTATTGGTTTAAATATCTGAATAAAAATATCATTTATTCGGTTGTTCTAATCTCTTCTCAATGATAAAACCACATCAAAAGGATGGGTCACTTGCATTTATTGCTTCAACGCTCAACTGTCGCCTCATTTTACTGCATTTCCTCAGAAAGTTATTAAAATTTCCTCGCAATCGCTCCAGATTCATTGTTAAGATCGATTGCGCTTATCGTAACCACAGGACATCAAAATCATGTACTTTTCCTGATGTGTCCCTTTACATACCAAGAGAGGTCAATCTGCTGCTTATAGCAGCTAGTTAACAACGTGTACATATCATATTTCGGCAAAGCAGAAGACAGACATTAGATGTTTAAATTAATGAGTAGTGAGGCAGTCTTACTGGAAACGATATCATTAAACCGACAAATCTTAAATAGAACTGAGTTCCAAACTTGACTGTTATATACTAACGAATACTTCATTCAGTGCAGAAACCTTAAATGAATCTAAGAGAAATAACACGATCTCACATATGTATCTGAGTATTGGCATAATGAACTGGGGAAGGATTACACTGATGGTGGCCAACAAGTTCACCTTCAAACTCATCATTTTAGGTATACCTGCATTACATCACCCATCGTTTCAAACGCCGCCTCTTGTGAAATTGATATCAGTTGTTTATGCGAAGTTAAAGTATCATAGCCTAAGCCGAGGTCTTATAAAAGTTGACCTTTAAGGACCAATCAGATACAGTAAATGCTATAAAAAATTATTCCAAATCAAATCGTGCCTACCTTTTTGAATTGGAGAAGGTAGATACAGTACTCCATTAATGCCCTAGATACTTTTTGTGTTAATCTATACTGTTATGTGGGGTTATGGCGTTTTAGATTAAGGTTTAGGGTCTAGGGTTAAGGTTAAGATTATGGTTATGAGTAGGTTAAAGAAGAGTGTCAGAAATATCAATACATCTCAAAGTAGCATGACCTGCAGTCACCTGGATGAATGCATCTATCGCGCAGTAGTATGACTTCTATATAGATCATCTTTGTAGTGATTGGCATTCTTACAACACGTAAGCGAAAACTATATTGTGTAATATCATGTTTACAATGTGTTTTAGTGGATTTTTCAACGATTATGCGACTTTTCCCATCTGAATTCTGATTGGCTGTTCAAGGTCACTGTGGTTTTGGCTATATCTCCTTCTTACTGCTATTTATTTAGAGAAAATTTAGAAAGAATTTCCCAAATTTTAAAACTTTGGACTTGTTTTTTTGTTAATTTTCTATAGTTTGTTAGTTAGATACAATTAAATAGTTTTTGTTAATTAACAAATAAGAGACGATTATCGTAGGACATCGGAGGAAAGTAGTTATTCACTAAGACTTAAGTTTAGGAGTTTGAAAAATTGCGCAAATCATAATGTACACAAATACCTATTGGCATTGGTTTGGTAAGTTCAATGCACTACAGAGGTTTTCTGAGAGAATGGTACCCGATGAAGTCATCAAGCCTATAGTTGATTAGGCGTTCCAGCTCAGTGGATATCTAATATTCGCTCTAACGAATTTTTCCTGCATTTACGTCAAATTGAAAACCCTCTTTTTTAGATTTCATTGGAACGGTCTTCCGTGTACGTAGAACATAACGTGAGGAGAAACAAGCCTCTTATTAAAACAAGCTCATAAAATATATAAGTAGTTTTAGTGTTTCAATACGAGATTTTTGAACTCAATAAAACCGAAATTACTTTACAACAGGAAATATTTGTTCGCAAACCATTGAAGACGAAAAAACAGTATTTCTGTAAGTGATAAAAATAATTACTCTTATTACCGTACTATTTGATTATTTGCTTTTTTTTAGTTTTTTTGATTACAGCTTGATTCCACACTGTATTTTTGGTACAAGTATGGAATTTTCACCATGGATATCGGTAGCCCAAATTTTGCAGGCCGACCATAATTATCATGTGTGCGTCGGCAGGGGATCGAACCTCGGACCATGTGCATGGTCGGCGAGAGTCCTAACCACTGTGCCACCGACGCACATTTGTTGCTACAATTAAATCCAATGATTATGAGTTCCTGAGTCTGCTGTTCGACGAAGTAGTTCAATTTGTCATATTGCCAATTATAAATACAGATGTCAACACCATATTTATTTCATATGATAAAGCACAACAGACGAAATATGCAGTCTGAGACTATATCACTTTCTTTCATAGACTAGGATTCACAATGCTTTCAGTGTTATTGCTTCAAACCCTAAAGTATAGCACCTTTATTATTTTATAAGTATTGTAAATTTAGGCAGTCTGCAGTCGATGAAAACCTAAAATAGAGATACTGTTTCATACCACAGATTTGCTCTTTATTGGTTTGAGAAAATATTTATTTGCTTCTTATTTAGGACAGCTTAACAGTGAATAACCTTATCTTGCAGCATAACACATTCAATGGTACAATTAAGAGTAGCTATGGGTTCTTAGTATACACAGTACGGCTGTCGCTAGGCGACTCGATGCCTACCTACACAAGTATGCATTGCAATTAGTCTTCACTACAGAAAAAGTGTCTGACAATATAATGCATACATAGACAAATGAGTATATGATTATTTGATCACAGCTTACCACTATCCCAAAATGTTGACATGTCCGTGCATTCATTAAGTAATCAGATGATACTAAAGTTTTATCATTTTGTCGAATTTTATCAGTTTCTATGCGTGTGAACTCATCAAAATGCTTCTCGCAGTCAGAATGTAAACGCAGTCGACTTGAAGAACATGAACTCTTATTCCCCAGTTTTGCTTTATTTTCACAATGTTCACCGTTTGATGATGACATTGATGGTATGATGGGAGAAGCTGATAGAACACAATTTGGTATGGTACGCAATGATTTACTGCGTTTTTTATTACGGTCAATTAAGTTATGCTTAACTACCACTGAGTCTTCAACTGTATGTGATTTTTCACCTTCATTAAAGTTTACTGAACGACCAGATTTCCTTACTGATTGTATGATGAAACTCCGAAAACGTCTTAGCAAAGTTTTAGATTGTCTGACTGGCTGTTTACTATCATTATGTTGTATTGGAGGGATATTATTTGTTGGTGAAGACAATGATGTTGACGATGATGATAGAGATGGTGGTGGTGATATCTGGTCAAATAGGGTAACATTGGAATCACTCTTAGCATCTGAAGTTGCTTGGCTCTGTTTATGGCTGTGGCACAGACAGGTAAATCCCAATTGTCTTTCCGTAAATTTAGCGTATGTCTGATAGTAAGGACTCTTACGATGGTGATTTGAATGATTGCATTCTATAAGTGTGGAGGAATATGGGAAAATATTCGAATCATCTGTTCCAAATAATCTATTCGACGACAAAACCGATCTTAAGGAGGTTAAACATCCATAACACCTATAGGGAGATGACAAGATGTCATTCGTAGCATGATTACTAGAACTTATAGATGACTGTGTGTGATTAAATGTAGAATTAAAGATTTCTGACGATGTGAAGATCTGATCAGCAGAAGATTTATGTGGACTATCATGGGCATTTATTGATGCAGTTGAGTAAACCGGCAACTCGGAATGGTTGGTCGATGCTACATTAGAATGTACTGAAGAATAAACAGTGTAATTTGTTGAAGAAATGATAGGTGATGAAGAGTGACAGTTATTTTCATTGTCGGTAAATTCACGATGGCATAAAGACCAGCTTTTAGAAGACTTTCTGGAGTCGTCAAGCTCGTTCACATGACAAATATCTGATGATACTAAAGATATGCTAGATGGGGTTCGTGAGAATTCTGAATCACTGTCCGTTGTCGTGGTAACAGTTATCGTAGGTGGGATGATCACTTTTGATGAGTCAGTCTGTGTATAGATTTGCGATTCTAGCATTTACTTAAATATTAACCAGGTGTTATCCGCAAATTTACAGAAACCACTCCTGTGGGTATAACCTCCAGATGATAGTTAAAAAGTGTAAACTTCTCATGCTTACATTTTTACTACATGTACACTAGAGACACACTATAACCATAATGAAAGGTGATACCTCATTGGATGATACAAAATATCACATTAACTAAATATAAGACCTAAGAGAATAGACATAAATACCGACCAATCATGGACACACAATCACATAATGGAAGGGGTAGAATGGATTGTTGTTTCTCACTAGTTAAGCAGTTTCCCTGAGAGATGACACTGGTGTACAACTTTGCCTTGATGCAAAGATATTTATTTTCTAAATTGTTCTGTTTAAATTAGAATTTAGGCTACCGTGTATGCATTGTGTGTACATAGTTCGGACTGATGTATGTTACTTTTTTGTGAATTTAGATCAATCATTGCCTAGATTATAGATGTCAATATTAAGCTATTCAGATCTTTTCTTTTGACGACAAAACAACGAAAATAAATATCATCAGATGACTCACTCATATGGATCCTGGCGTTGTTATATCTGGAATATGTCCTGAACAGGAAAGATGAGTAACTATGCCATAGAGTCTTACTAAAATAGCTGAGTCAATCTACATTGGATGATATTTTTTTATTTACGGATCAAGCTGTTCGACTGGTGGACTGTTGAAATGATTTAACGATAGCCATCAGTCTTCAAACTTCACATTTGGTGAAAAATTAAATTGCTCATCCTATTTCTCGCAACTTTTGTTGAAGAGAAGGCGCATCGATGTCTTGAGAAACAGATTTGCAGGAATCTAAACTTTCCAGTTTACTAAGTTTAATGCTTGAAAACGTCCAAGAAAAATACAGGGTACAAATTTATTTTCCAAATTTCACAGTTTAGGAAGTCTGCCCTGAAAATATGATTGTAAAAGAAGTAGACACACCTTGAAAATACTTAAAGAACCAAGCTACCTATAAAACAATCACGTCGCTAAATGTGGATTTAACAGAGAGATACAAAAGGGAGCATAAGAAAGAGACACCTACTAATTCCATATGATAGATTAGTTGGCGTAACATAAATAATTCTTAGTAATTTGTTTTTCCGGTCATTTGATGTCAAAAAACATTCAGTCAGTTCCAGTAGGAAATGGGCGTCAGTTCTGCGGAAGTATAGCATTTATTAGACCTTCAAAAATATAAATACGATTGTACATCATGATAATTATTGAAAGAAATGTGTGTGTTGATTAGACCATCTGAGATATGCTTGGATTGGTATGGTGATTTTTGGTGTAATATATGTGATGACTGAAAGTGAAATGGAAATTATATCAGTTACTCACAGAGTACACCGATGTCAGGTGAAATTTTACTATTGTTTCCTTTCGAAGCTTGAAACAGTCAGATCACAACATATAGCCAACAAATTGAGCGAAATGTGTTACTGATTAATTTGAAAAGCTGGAAGCCCCTCATATCCACCAGTAGTGGATGAGAGACTGAAGGGATCTGAACTTCGGATGACCATTTTGCTTGCTCACCGTTGAGCTCACCAACAGTATGCATGGGAAATGACAGGATTCCATACCACCTGTTACCAAATTACTACCTCGGAACTCTGTGGACTAGGCTACGAGATATCTCTTCAGGGAATTAGATTTTACTCTCCTATGAAGTCTCCTGCACTATAATAAGTCGCTTCTCAGTGACTTATTTAAGGAAGGAAAAGTAATATATAAAAGTATTTTGGAATACACTACCACTATAATTTATTAAATTCTCCATATATTTTAGTTTAGCTACAGCAGGTATTAGAGGACAGATGTCGAATAAAAACCAAGAATGATTTGACAGGCAATGAGAATAAATAAAACAACAAGGAGATATAGGCATGAAAAACATAATATCAATATTTTTTAAAATGTAAGGCATGAAAGAATTTGCATGGCTTTAACTGATTCTTTACCTAGCCACCAGTAGTGTCCAGTTGTAACGGTAAAAGGCGAACGACTTGGTAAGGGAATGTTTATCTGAAATTTGGTATCTCTATATAGAGAAATGATGTACACCTTATCTGAAAATCTTTATTTGCACAGATCTTCCGTGTTATGCTACATCTGTCCTTAGTATTGTGTTTCTTTGTCTTCTGTTCGTGTCTCCCATGTTTTGCCGCAATCCTGGTTCATTTGCTTTCTTTGACATCAGATATCTCTCTCTCCTCTATTTGATATTTTCATGCCGATAAATCTTGTCAGTAGCACAAGCCAAACAACTATGGGTTTTAGACTTCTCGTAGGAGGCAAGCAGTAAGCCGAAATTTCTTTGTACAACTTCCACCAGCATAAAGAAATAGGTGAGGTTGGTGGTCTGGCTAGTGTTATATGTTTTTCAGAAAAAAGCAGCTATTTTAAGTAATAGTGTGCCGATGTGCAAATGAAAAATTCCTATGCACGGTGCATGATGTATCCACTTTAACTGATAATAATTCCTGGCAGTGTATTTAACTTCTGATGGCTTAAATCAGTATTGTGCAAATAACAGATTCTGCAAGATCCCAACCGACTATAAGATTGTAAAGGTATGTTTTTACTCTTTCAACTTTCTGTCTAGTCTTAGTTTAGGACTCTTCAACAGTGTATACCCAACAGTGTATAATGCATGATGAATACAGACAAACTATACCATGGAGTCATGCTTAGTTCAAATGTCAATTAGTAATAATCTTTACATAAGTAGTCCATTTCACTTTGCTAAATTACATACAATGAGTTAATTCAAAATGTGTGCAAATATATGAATCAGTTCAAGTTACTGCCTTTTTAGAAAAGAACACTTAAAGCATAAGAACTGAAATACAATAATGCTAGAATGGATGAAGCTGTATGAAATAAAGAATAACCTAGAATTTAATTTGTAGATGGTGACTAGCAGTGGAATCCAACCAAGATGCGTATTTCGTCCTATTTGGAACTCATCATCTGGATGTACCTGAATTCCCGAGTGAGTCAGTGATGATGTTCCCACCGAGGCTCGAACCCAGTGTCCATAGTTTCCAACGCCAAAGCGTTATCCACTAGACGACTTGGGCCACGAGATCCACCTCTTGTGCAACGGGTCATATTAATTATTGAACTGAATTTTTGATTTTCCCGTCGATTGATTGGACCGAAGTGCTTGGTGTCAGGTTGACATGTTGGCTTCTTGTGCAGATGCTTCGTCAATGTCCGGGAATTTAAAAAAGAATAACCTAGTTGTCAGTAGTGAGGTTGCTTAAACCTACTAAGATGATAAAAAGTCAGTTTATTTGCGGAAGTATATGAACCATATTAACAGAAGCAGAACACGAAGGCTTATGTTAAACGAAAACATTTACAAACTAATTGCCCACCTTCAAATGAGAAAATATTTCTTTTTAACTTTCGGTGAAATTTTGTACTAACTAAAGTGTTGAATATATGTATGAGTGAATAAGTGCACAATATTGGTAGGCACTACTCACACTCTAAACGATAAACCAGTTTAAACATGAAAGCATTTAGCTATTGAGGTTGAAGGTTGTATAGATAGATCTTTTATGAATTGAACGTAGAGTTTTTTTCCACACACAATATTGTTATTAGTACAATAGTTATTCAACGTCAGCCCACTGAGTCATATTGATCACAGGACAGTAGTTTTTTCCTTCTCATACTTTAACTAATCGAAACCATGAAAATGTGTATTTTGAATATTCACCTTTGTATATCCTAAATCAATATGAGAATAGATTTTTTACTATAAAGCTGATTTTATTGTTAGAGCTATGATTAGAATACAGTAGAATTAAGTTGAAGTTTACCTGGCTAAGCCAGAAATAATGCTGGTAAAGAGGAAAGGTTGGGCATGAGGCTAGCAACCCCATCCTGTAAAATTAAACACTACTACAGAAACTTCAAGCCATTAGCCTGAGGTTCTATGTTCCACTGGGAACGTGAAGGAAATAAAAGAAAGTTGAAAATTCCCATATGAAGGATTAATATTCGGACTATAAAAATTTGCAGATTAATTTCAGTAGTTAGATTTTCATCGCAAACCAGTAGTAATTAGGGATACCATTCAAGGGACTTTAGTGCACATTGCTGAAGAGTCTTGAAATGATGTGAAACAGCTGTTCAGTGGTCCTTGGTCCACAATAATCTCCTTAACTGATGTCAATTTGTGACGAAAATCCAACAACTGAGACATCAATATGTATAAGTCCGATTACCAGTTTATTTACTTTAAAAATGTGAAAATATCTTTTTCTGTTTGCGAATACATTAAGAATATGTGTGCCATCAGCTCTTAAATATCTGTAGATTCTGAATATTGACAGCTATAGCAAATAAGTCGCGGAAAAAAAGATAAGGCCAAATGTAAACGAGGCTTTTTTGAATGAAGACTCTTGATGGAATACCAGAAAATCTACTGTAATCACAATGTATTCATACTCTATCCACCAACTTCCATCGAATTCATTATTTGATTCATCTTCACTGACTCTCTTTTCACTGCAACCGCCTTCCTCTATGCATGATATTTGGAAGTTTGTTAGCTTGAAATAGACTGTTTTTATGCGACACTCTACTCTGATATGTCCATTTCCCATTATTCAGAAAATGTTCTCTCTCCACTTACACATTGTAGTCGTGATTCCATAATGTTTCCCATCACCATGAAGTATTAGACATTTTGAGTGCTAAGCGACAACTTCAAGAGACGGAATCGATGAAGTCGGTAGCTGGTGGTTCTATTGACTATCATGCGAGAATAGGTTGAAATCCTTAGGTGTAAATAGTTTGTATCTTCGAGAACAAATATTGGACATGTGTTTATGAATTACCATCATATTTCTTACTAATAATACAACTCAGCTACCCACCTGCTACTAATTAATTAATTAATGCTACCTGATTGCCCAGTCTGGCATAAGCGGAACTCAGAAACCATTGAATAACGTTTGAATGCTTAAGCTGACAAAACACACTACCACAGTTACCCGTCTTACTAATCAATATTTTACTCAGCATTTTTAATTAGAGAAGTC